CCGGCTAACATTTACGGGGTCTTCCTATATGCTCTGTATTAAACACTTTTCCTATAATAATTCATTTTACCCTTCCAAAACCCTACAAGGCATGTAATATTATCCATATCTGACATGAGGACTCTGAAGCCCAGACACATTAAGTTGTCAGCACCACACAGTCAGTAATTGGCAGAGCCAGGATCTGAACTCCAATTTTATGTAGATACTCCTTCATCCCCCAGCCATATACATCAGGAGAAGCTCACCTCATACTCTACCTCAAGCAGGACTGATTGACATAAGAGTAAATCCAGCCCCTTTCCAGTGTCTGGCTCAGGAATAGGCCAGTGATCCAATTCTGGTCTGACTTCTGACCACCAATTCATAGGGTTATCATAAGAAGTAAATGAGCTATTATTTATAACATGCTTAATACATGGGAAGACCACAATAAATGGTAGCTATTGTTATTATTAAAAGCTTCTATTATCAAGAACAACTGAGAAAGAATGTCCAAAGGAGGGCAAGAGAGAGTGGAGAAGCCAAAGGAAGAGTTTCTGGAAGGGCATGGCAGGATGAAATGCCACGATAGAATAAAGTGATGTGAGAACTGGAAGAGTCTACTTAGGACATAACAGGTGATTTTTTGCCAGAGTGTTGTTTGAAGAAGGGCTGAGATTGAAGCCAACCCACCAATGAAGAGTGAAATTGCACCTGAGTAGAGACAGTGGATGGCTATTGCAGATTAGGAGTTTGTGGTGAAAAGGGGGCAGGAAAAGGATGGTAGCGGGAAAAGTCTCTAAAAGGGGCATGTTTATAAACTTTGAGGCAGTAGCTAGCAAACGTAACATGGAAAATTCAGGAGAGAGAAACAATGATGGGACAGGTTCCAAAGCAGACTGAAAGAGACAGCATTAAGCCCACAGGTAGAGGGAGGTATTAGTCATGAAGAATTGACGCATCTTCCACCCTCTTCAGACTGGGGGGGAGGAGGTAAGGGTAAGTTCAGATACAGATGAACTTATAGGCATGGCAGTAGAAGGCGCACCTATGAAATAGTTCACTTTTCTTAGTGAAATGGAGGCAGGGTTATGTGCTGAGGGTGTGAAGCAAGTAGTGGTTGAGGATAGTTGCTGTTGGATGAAGCTGGCCTTGGAGACAAGTTAAAACAATTCTACACAGCTGAAGGCACAGCTAAATTGGAGACCAAAAATTTTCAGTGGCTCTAATATGTAGGAATATATGATTCTCTCCAACATGTCTCACCAGCCCAGGTGTATCTGTGAGAATCATCCTGACCATGTCTTCAGGCATGTTATGAAGAGTTAGTGTGAGGCTGAAAGTAATGGAAATGGAGACCATTTGACCATAACCAACCGTCTCTGGTTCTTCATCGTCCTCAGAGGCCTCAGTGCTACACACAAAATTGATGTCTACCTACAATTGGGACTGCCATCCACTACTGGCAAGGGGAAAGAAGGTTAAAGAACAGGCTGCCATTCCCCAAATTCGAAGGGAAGAATCAAACTGTTAGCCCTTTATCTGGACATCTCAGAGTGTTCTAAGATTACAGGTAGTACAACAATATACTAATATTCATCCTTGGGTTAAATTCTTCAGCTCTCAAGTTTGATGTATGTTTTCTTTCATTCAAGATGAAACAAAGTTAAGGACATTGATTTTCAGGGCTTTATGTATAATAGATAGGATTACTGGGATTAAGAACCACATGACATGTAAAATAAAACTACACAAATATTTAAATTATTTAGTATGTGTGCCTATGGCATATAACAATGCCATCCTGCTGTGTCAAGGGAACTTAAAGCATCTTTCCATTATTCATTCCCACAGTTACCTTTCAGGTAGGTACACAGCTAGGTTTTCTCTCTAAACCTAACCAATAAGAGAAAAATGCCTCACTGTTAGAAAGAATTAAAAAGAAATTGTTCTCCTTCCAAGCTGATTTCAAGATATTGCTTTAGGATGTTGTTTTAAAATTGCTGTTGGTTATTTTAATTGATTTAATGAGAAGTTTTTTTTCTTCTAAAAAATTAGGCATGTTCTCTTCTTCCTCAAAAGAGAACAGTAGTAAAAAAAAAAAAATTACTTGCTTCATAGGGTATTACAAAACAATGAAAATATCAACTAACCACACAGAAGAGTATCACTGCCACACTTACCTTGCTCTCAGCCCTTTCTTTCCTACGAAGTATTGCTCATGGAGGTAGTTGTTTTTTCAGTCTCATAATAGTAAATATGTCTAAAGCATTAGAGTGAACTAATCCTATTTCTATGCCTAATATAATGCTATCATCCTATCAAGTAAACATGAATCAAACATAAAAGATTTCATAAGTTATAAAGACAATTTAAGAGAAGTCATCTGATTTAGAAGGCCAACATTGTAGTTTTAATACTGGGATATAAAGAAAAGTCACTGGGGCTGAGACATTAGAATTACCCCACTAGTATTGAGAAGGTCAGAATTTACTTTGTCATTATAAACATTCTAGGTTACTGAATGAGAGACTGGTGTACTTCAGTCAAAAAGCTTAACAATTTCCCTTTTATGTGTTTGATATGTGAATACAAAGTGAATAACATTTACTTCCTGACCTCAAGAAGGTCCTTACAACTCTCAGCTTTCTGAAAACCACTTTGAGACAACATCTGGTCAGCTCCTCAGTCTGACAGAGCTCAATGCCAAGTTGCAACACAGAAAGAACAGGAAGGCCTGCTGCCATTCATTCTCTACAGTGAAGGTACATGGTTTTTAGGAAGGGCTTACATTTCAAAGTGAATGACTGAGAGGTATTTTTCTAAGTAAAATTCACCCTTAAACATTTCTTATGGAATTATCTGGGGCCTCTTGGGCCAGCTTCTCCACCATGATTTGAACAGATCATTGTTTCACTGGCTGACTACCCAGGTTACACTTTGAAACTTTGAAAAATATGTATCTTTAAACAATGTATGCACATTTGGAAACATGGTTTTGTTTTGTGCTTCTTAAGACAGAAATGGGATCACACTGTACTTATACATCTCATTTATATCCCCCACACATCAAGGTGTTTAGGTTTTTCAATGTATCTGTAGCAAGTTATACATTCTGAAAGTGGCCACAGCAGTATTTCTGGTCCCACATGCTCTTTGAGAACCTCGCCTCTCTCCACCAAGAGTAGAGTCTATTTCCCCTCCTCTCAAAACTGGATATAATTTTGTGTCTGCCTAGATATAATGCAGCAGAAGTGACACTACATAACTTTTTTTTTTTTTTTTTTCTTGAGAGGGAGTCTCCCTGTGTTGCCCAGGCTGGAGTGCAGTGGAGCAATCTCGGCTTACTGCAACCTCCACCTCCCGGGTTCAAGTGATTCTCCTCAGCCTCCTGAGTAGCTGGGACTACAGGTGTGAGCTACCAAGCCCAGCTAATTTTTGGTATTTTTTGGTAGAGATGACGTTTCACCGTGTTGGCCAGGCTGGTCTCGAACTCCTGGCCTCAAGAGATCCTCCTGCCATGGTCTCCCAAAATGCCGGGATTACAGGCGTGAGCCACCGCACCTGATTAGAGACTACATGACTTCTAAGGCTAGGTCATAAAGGGCAATATGCTTTTGACTGACTTTCTCGCACGATACTTGCCGTTGGAACCCAGGTACCAGGATGTGACAAAGCCCAAACCAATCAATGCTAAAAGACCAACGGGAGAGGTCTACATGGACTAAAACTGAGGCCTCCAGCCTTTAGCCTGCATCAACCACCAGCTGTGAAATTGAAGTTTTCAAGTAATTCTACTCCTCAGCCTTGGAGTCTTCCAATTGAAGCCCTACGCATAATGGAGTAGAGAAAAGCCATCCCAGCTGTGCTCTGTCTGGATTTCAGAGCCACAGAATCTATGAGCATAATAGTTATTTTATACGTAGAGTTTAGATTATTGCAAAAAGTTGCCAACATGTTCCGTCATAGAATTATATACCGCAAACGTCCATCTGCGGCACACCAAACCAGCTGTATAAATCAGGTTTTTAACACAACCGAATTTGTTCAGTGTGCGGGTTACATACACTGTCTCAGCTCACACCTGCCGGGAGTCAACTGTGGACTAGAGCAGAAGGAGCCCAGTCACAAGCTCAAGTTCTATCCCCTTTGCACTCAATAGGCAGATCCCTTGGGAGGATCAGGCCACCTGTTTACCAGTGAATTCTTCCTAACCTATTTGTGTCACAAGTTTAGGATTGTGCTTCCTAGCCCTGGTCACAGTCTTTCACCATCTCGCTCTAACCCTTCCCCAGGTGTGCTCGCAATTGCCCAACACCTGTCAGTCACTTTTGCCTCCAATTTTACTGGGCGCGAGGAGCAGAGTAAGGAGAGAGAAGAGGGCTGATTCCCTTGCCGCTAAGTGGCAAGGGCCAGCTGAACTTAATTCAAACTGCAAACGACCACGTTTCGACAGCCATCCCCATATTTTCACAGCTCAAAGCTTCCTTTCCTTTTCGGTCGGCTTCCCTGATTTGCTCCATTTTTAATCGCTCCTCCCCCATCCTCCTTGCCCCTGGTCAGGGCAAACATTAAACGCTGTGCAGCTTTAAAAAGGCATTTTTAGGTGACTTGTAAACGGCTGGTTCCAGAGGCCCCGAATTGGCGAGATTCGCTACAGCTCCCAGTGCACGGTAGACTTGAAGCAGGGAGCGCCTGCCCGGTCCATCCCTCCCCGGCCCCGCGTGGCAAGCACCACGGGTTGAGGCGCCCCAGAACCGAGGAGAAGGGTTTGGGAGGCTGTGACTCCAAAGCCCTCTGCAACTTCCCGGCCCCAGAGCCCCACCCACTACCACGCGGCCTTCCCCGCAGCCCGCAGGAGACACCTTCGTCCCCGCCCCTCCACAGGTCACCTCCCTCCACGCCCCTCTCTCTTGGCCGGGGCAGCCGGCAGGCAGGGAAGTGTCGTAAAGCCAGGCCCAGGAAACTTTACCCGGGGTAACAGCCGAGGCGCTTTACGGCGACGGCGGCTGAGTGAGAGCCTTGGAGGCTGTGGAGGCGGCCGCGGCTGCGAAGGAGGCGGCCGCAGTGGCTGAGGAAGAGGAGTGGCGGCAGCGGCGGCGGGGACCCGTGCGGGGTGAGCCGCGAGGAGGGGACGGGGAGGGGCCGCGAGTGACAGGGCTGGCGGGTGGGCCCGGGCGGACGGGGACGGTGGCCGGCTGAGCAGCTGGGCGGCGCTGAAGAGCGGGGGGGGGGTGGCGCGGAATTGGGGGGGCAGCTCCGTGAGGGACGGTTTCTGTCTTTGTTCCCCCCACCTCGGCCGCCCCCCACCCGCCGCCCCCTCTTTTCCGCGCTCTTCGGCCGGGTTTCATGGCCTCCCCTCTCGGTCTGTGTCGCTTCTAGGATGGCGGAGGTACCGCCTGGGCCTAGCAGCCTCCTCCCACCACCAGCACCTCCGGCCCCGGCGGCGGCCGAGCCCCACTGTCCCTTCCCGGCGGGGGCCGCCCTCGCCTGCTGCAGCGAGGACGAGGAGGACGACGAGGAGCACGAAGGCGGCGGCGGCGGCAGGAGCCCGGCGGGCGGGGAGTCGGCGACTGTGGCGACCAAGGGGCATCCGTGCCTCCGCTGCCCTCAGCCGCCGCAGGAGCAGCAGCAGCTCAACGGATTGATTAGCCCCGAACTGCGGCACCTCCGGGCGGCCGCCTCCCTCAAGAGCAAGGTCCTGAGCGTAGCCGAGGTGGCCGCGACCACGGCCACCCCTGACGGAGGCCCCAGAGCGACTGCAACAAAAGGAGCCGGGGTACACTCGGGCGAGAGGCCCCCTCACTCCCTCTCTAATAATGCAAGAACTGCGGTCCCCAGCCCGGCGGAGGCAGCGGCGGCCAGCGATCCCGCGGCGGCCCGCAATGGACTGGCCGAGGGCACCGAGCAGGAGGAAGAGGAGGAAGACGAGCAGGTGCGGCTGCTGTCTTCGTCCCTGACCGCCGACTGCAGCTTAAGAAGCCCTTCGGGCAGGGAGGTTGAGCCTGGAGAGGATCGGACGATACGATATGTCCGATATGAATCCGAGCTACAAATGCCCGATATCATGAGACTGATCACCAAAGATCTGTCCGAACCCTACTCCATTTATACCTATAGATATTTTATCCACAACTGGCCACAGCTGTGCTTCTTGGTAAGTGGATAGAATAAAAAGAGGGTGAACCCAGCAGTGATCCAGACTGTGCGGGGCAGGGAGCGAGGGCCCAGAGTGTGGCAGTGGATATCTCCTGCTGCTTATCATAGTACGTTATATGGTGTCAAGTGCGTGTACACATTCCTAGTTATTTAATGAAACTGTTTTGAAGGTAAGACTTCATGATTCGGGTTAACGTGATACTAGTGTAACTGCAGCAAGCCTGTATGGTGGCGTGTTTCACTGGGGTGGGGGTCTTGTGTCTTGTTTACATTAGATTATAATCGTGTTTAACCGTCTTTAATTGCCTGCCCGCATCCTCAAACACTTCACAGTAATTTAATTTGAACATGGTTCTGTTTGGATAGAGGCCTTTTAGTCTCTCAGTTACAACTATAATCAGGGAAGAGTGTATGCATAAACATGTTTTGGTGAACATGAATGTCAGCAAACTTGGTGTGGCCATATTGGAGAATTAAATCTTACAAGCATTTTCAGTAATTATGGAGATGTTTCCCTTTACTTCAACAGGACAATGAACAGTTGTAGCCAGCCTGCTTTCTGGTACTCCATTGCAGAAAGCGCTACTAACACTATTGGTGACTGAAAGACTCCTGAAACTTGAACAAAAATACCCTTTTGTGGAATGTAGAAAACTTAAGTGTGAAATTGTTACCGATCTGATTTTATTTTTTTTTAATTTAGAAACTGGTTGAAGATGTGGCCAAACACTAGTAACACTGGCTTGTGTAAATTATAATTGGCAATAATATTACACATAAGTGAAAGACTTTGGACAGTTTTTAAAAATTTACGTAGTATTGGCAGTACCAGTAATTTCTTCACAATAATATTGGCCCATTTCAGTCTCTATGAACCCTTTAACTTAACTGTTGACTGCAGGTGTATGCTTTGTATCATGTACTCACAAGCATATTGTTTCTAGATGACATCCATTTAAGGAATATTTTATAATATGTGAAGGGAAAAGCCACCGTTACTTAGTGTTTTAGCATTGGCTTAGTTTCACTTAGTAATTCCCTGCAAGATATTTTGACAATACTTCCCTGTCCTTTTGATTATCTAGCTTGGTGGTAATTTGAAAATGTAACCTGGGTATTGTAGATAATGGTAGTTCTATTTTCTGTCTTAACTTTGCTTAAACTTCAGTACATTTGTTTAAACTGTGGGTGCTATTTTATGTTCTTGAAAACTGCTCTTTCAGTATTCTAAGCATTGTATCAGAATAGTTCTAAGACATGTCTATGTCAGTGAATATGAGAAAATGATTTATAGCAGTATTATAAATGTCATATCAAATGCCACTGTAATTGCTAAAAATTGCAGATTTAGTTGTAAGTTAACCCACAGAAGCAGATGATTGAGTCACATTTCAAATTGAAATAGATGTTTTTCTGTCAATTCCAGGAAATTGTTGTGTATATAATATTCAGTCAACTTTTGAGACCTGATGTTTACCTAAGCCTTTCTCAACTTGTCTGCCATTTTAGACTCTGGTCAACAATATTAGTAAACTTTAGTTTTGATTTTATGTAGAACCCTTCCAATTCACCAGCTAATGTGTGTGTTAGCCTTTAGTAGCTCGTTTGTTTAATATTAAATTCTGAATATCTAGAAATTGCAATATGCACAAGTGGTTGACCTATAAGATTTACTAGTGCCAGTATGAATCAGGAGGTATTAAACAATAATAAAACAGTAGTTAAAAAACAACCAGGCCATTTAAAACTGAAACCTTTATCTTGGCATACTTTTACATTTAAGTTTCCCATAGGAACTATTTTTTAAAAAATGCAAATGCGTAAATGTGTATGTTTATTTTAAATCATAACCTTTTAGAACTGAAAGGCATCCTAGAGATAATCCAGCCCAACTTAGGTTTTGTTCTGTTTTGGTTTTTGATTGAAAAAAAGAACCAAAGTGACTCAAAATGTTTCAGTCTCCAGATATTTACTGACAGAAGGGTAAAGCTAGAACCCAGTTCTCCTGGCCTCTCATTATGGTAACATAAGAACCTGAAAAATGACATACTCTTGATCCATTCAGTGAAGATTATTGTGTCAGCAAGTTATCTCCACCAAGAGACAGTTGCCCTTACAAACAGCAATCTCAAGAGATTAGAAACCTCCAAAATGTTGCTTTTTTCTATGGATAACCTGTAATGGGTCAATGGACTATATGGGGTTGAACCTTACAAAATTGCCAATACTTGATTAACAAAAATGGTAGCTTATTATGATTCTTCCTAATTGTGAAAGATGTTAAAAAAAAAAATACAAATGTGAGACACTTTCAGTTACTCTGTACTTAACCATTTTATCTTTACCTCTTTTCATAGTAACATTTTCAGTTGTTGGTACCTTTTTGAAGTTCTTAAACTTTGCTCAGCGATGTAACATAGTACTTCCGTTTATTCTAAATTTAACTTTTTGGCTTCCTCCGGTTTTCTATTTGTAGTGTTCTAGAATTTGGGAATCTCTCACTTCATATTTTTCATAGTTTTATAGACTGACAACCCTTTGGCCTTGTAGTGTTAAGTCTTAATCTTGCCAGGGATTTTTCAGTTCCCATCCTTGAAAAAATACATTTAATAGCGTGAATTCCAAATGTATGTGCAGAGCTTTTATTAGGAAAAATTGACAAGCAATTTAATGATTCCTGTAAATGTACCATATATTCGTGAGTGGTTTATCAGGAAAAAAATGCAGCATTGGTCTTCTTCACTACTAATACTATCTCTATGGTGTATGATATATTAGACTTTTTATATGATATATACAGCTTGATTTTTGCTCCTACAGATTCTAAATTAGGAAGAAATCAGGTCTTAAGAATGAACTAATACAATATTTTGTTTGCTTATTCCATGCTCAAAGGACAAAGATTTGTTTGAAATTCCTGTTCAGATTGAAAGTACTGTCCAGTTGTATTGTTTTAATTTTTCCTCATTTTTGGATAGTTTATAAGGTGTAGCTGTTCTGAGGTTTATATCATCGATCTAATACAGGTTTTCATTTCGCATGAGCCTGACTTATGAGGTCAGGCCAAAATTTTTTCTGAGCCTTTTAAATATACCATTTGGTCTGTAATAATTTTATGTATGTGTATGTATTTATATGTATTTGTATATACACACATATATTTGAAGTGAGTTATTTTCAGATCAGAAAAAGCTTTCAGAGTTGTTCAAGGCAATTTTTATGCATACTTAAGGTCTTTGTTTAAAAATTTTTTTTAAAAGATTGATATATTGTGAGGGAAAAAAATAGAAATAGCCATTTCAGAGGTTTATTGACCCAAAATAGTTTTGGAATGTGTGATAAACCAGAAATGAATTAGCGTGGGTTGTTGAATTTCATATTCCTTCAAAAGAATTTTTCTGACCTAGTTTAGGTTTGCATGAAATGGATTAGAATTTTCTTGCCTAAAAGATTTCTCCACAGTTAAAGGCTTATTAATCAATTTACAGAATGACAGACTAAAAAAGTCACAAATTTAAAATATGTATTAAGTATAAATTGGACATTATTAATTTTTTAACTCATTTCTGCTTTTGTTGAAATAGCTTCTTCTGGAAAACTAATTTATGGAAAACAAACTTCTTACTGACACATTATTTAAACAGTTGGAGATATTGCCCTATTTATAATTACCAGAAATACCATGTTACTAGAACTTTTTATCAGCATTGGAATTTCTGAAAAACATTTTTAATAGTAACACTAGAAATCTTAATGAAAATGGGGGATGATTAGAATTTAACATGTAGCTTTTAATACTCTGGAAAGCTGTACATTTTTATTAAAATAGAAATTTGTGTAAAATTAAAGCTTTTAACATAAAGCTTTGATTTTGAACTATAAGTATTCTGAGAGCTTTATGAGTTATCTACACTGTCAGGAGTATCCTAAAAATGAGACTATGCTATATTTAGATATATTAACAAAAACCTCTTAGGTATGATCTAATCAATACCTTATAAACCGTGCTTTTTCTGAAAATTAAAATTTTTTTTTTCTGATCACAATCTACCATTCAGGTGTAAATATGTATTATATGTAGCTTTCACTAAAACTTCATTAAATTTTTTTCTTTTTTTATTTTATTGAGATGGGGTCTCACTCTGTCACCTAGGCTGGAGTACATTGGCACGATCTCAGCTCACTGTAGCCTCTGCCTCCCCAGCTCAAGCCATCCTCCTATCTCAGCTTTCCAAGTAGCAGGAACTACAGGTACATGCCACCACACCCAGCTAATTTTTGTATTTTTGGTGGAGACAGGGTTTTGCCATGTTGCCCAGGCTGATCTCAAACCCCTGAGCTCAAGCAATCTGCCCTCCCCGGTCTCCCAAAGTGCTGGATTTACAGGTGTGAGCCACTGTGCTTGGCCATTATTACTAAATTTAACTATTTAAAATTATATTCTGCTGATGGGCAAGTTTTACAATATTTTATGTCCTAATAATTTGTTTTTGCATATTTCCTCTTCCAGAAACTTAGGTCTTTGTTGCAAATCATTGTGATTATAAGCACCTCATACGTAATCTTATAAAGTACTTGAATGTTTACCTTGTGGAAATCTGGTCTTTTTTCCCTAGGCTTTAATAGTAAGCATAAATAATTCATGTTTTAAAGAATATTGAGAAATTTTAACACTAGAACATTTAAAGGAGTTAGGGGATTTAGATTTCTGAAACTTCTGTGACTGCTCTCTTGTAAGAGTTCCCGTTATCTCTTCCCCCCCCGTCAAAAATGCCTACCAATGGTTGGTTGTTGTTTTCTCTGGATCATTGTGCAGTACCTGATGGCAATGTATTCTTCATAACTGTTTGTTTATTTTTAAGGCCATGGTAGGGGAGGAGTGTGTAGGTGCCATCGTTTGCAAGTTGGATATGCACAAAAAGATGTTCCGCAGAGGTTATATAGCCATGTTAGCCGTGGATTCCAAATACAGGAGAAATGGCATTGGTAAGAAAAATATTATTTCATAGAATGCCTAAGCTATTTTCATTTTTGTGTTTTGAAATGAAAGACTTAAATGTAAGTATGTAGAAATGAAAAAACTAAAGGAAGAAAAGGCAGTTTATAATTTTTAATTTCAAAATGGTATTTTTAAAAAGTTCTTAAAATGAATTTTTTCTTTATTAATGTTTTGACAGTTTTTCTTTTTAACAAGTAGCCGATCATCAGTTTTTACCTCCAGATTTTTTTTAAATCACATTCAAAATGCTTTGCATTATACTAAGTAACACAAGAAATACTGCAATTTGTAATTACATTATGATGGTCCTTCATCCCAGCCTTCAAGCACTTGTCTGTATTTGGGTTAAGTGGACCTCAATCAAGCCAAAATTATGGAAAAATTGTTACCATTACTGGTGTTAGTCATGAACCGTATATTGCAGTTCAGAAAAGATCAGGAGATGAGAATTGATTGTTTCTTATAATTCCCAAACTTAATTTTTTGTTGGTTGTACTTTTCCTGACATGTTTAGTTAATCTTACACTCATGATTTATAATGATCCTTAGAATCGTGGGGTGGTTTAAAAACACATATTTAGACCCCTCACCCTGAGACTCTTGTTTGTCTTGTCAGAGGTGGGGCTGAAGCTTCCATGGGTGACTGTGATGTAAGCCTGATTAGGCACCACTCTTCTATCACCGGGTTAGATAACTTTTGTCATTTAAATAACGCCATAAAACTCAATAGGCCTCCGGGTGCGGTGGCTAACACCTGTAATCCCAGCACTTTGGGAGGCCAAGGCAGTTGGATCACTAGGTCAGGAGTTCAAGACCAGCCTGGGCAAGGTGGCAAAACCCTGTCTCTACTAAAAATACAAAAATTAGCCGGGCGCGGTGGTGGGCACCTGTAACCCCAGCTACTCAAAAGGCTGAGGCAGGAGAATCGCTTGAACCCAGGAGGCGGAGGTTGCAGTGAGTGTGCCACTGCACTCTAGCCTGGGTGACAGAGCAAGATTCCGTTTCAAAAAACCACTCTTCTAGTCTCTAGGACCTAGTAGCTCTATGTTCACAATGGAGGATTGGTTAGACAAGCATTTGTCTAAGCATGTCAAATTTTGTGATGTGCTTTAGCAAGTATTCATAAAAAAATTTTAATACCTGTACCAGTATTTAATCATTAGCAGTTTTGTCACTTACGTTTTTTAAAAACTATTGTTATTGTCCAACCTAAGACTCACACAGTCCTAGATATCATGAGAAGTAACTATAAATAGGTTTACTTAATATGTTAGGTTTAGCCAACTTTATTACAGTGTTACAGCTTTCCACTAAGATTTTTAATGAATTGGGCTTGTTTTATGGAGTAAGTTTGAGCCTTTGATGCATTAAAAAATACTGATAAGGACTCATGATAAATTATAGCCAATTGTTTGGCTAGTTTGGAGGGCAGAAACCGGTGGCTTCAGGGTTGCATCCTGGCCTTCAGACATACTTTGTTTGGGCCATAAAATGTACGCATACTTGTATGCATGCTTTGAAAATTAAGAGTTTTTAATTCAATTTTATTATTTTTTGAGACAGAGTCTTGCTCTGTTGCCCAGGCTGGAGTGCAATGGCGTGATCCCGGCTCACTGCAACCTCTGCCCCCCAGATTCAAGCAATTCTTGTGCCTCAGCCTCCCAAGCACCTGGGACTACAGGCATACCCCACCACACCTGGGCTAATTTTTTGTATTTTTTGTTTTTTTGTTTTTTTGAGATAGAGTCTCACTCTGTCGCCCAGGTTGGAGTGCAGTGGCACTATCTTGGCTCACTGCAACCTCCGCCTCCTGTATTCAAGTGATTTTCCTGCCTCCGCCTCCCGAGTAGCTGGGATTACGGGCACCCGCCACCATGCCTGGCTAATTTGTTATTTTTTAGTAGAGACGGGATTTCATCATGTTGGCCAGGCTGGTCTTGAACTTCTGACCTCCAGTGATCCGCCCACCTGGGCTTCTCAAAGTGCTGGGATTATAGGCTGAGCCACCGCACCCAGCCAGTGTTTTGTATTTGTAATAGAGACGGGGTTTTGCCATGACCTCGGCCTCCAAAGTGCTGGGATTATAGGCGTGAGCCACCATGCCTGGCTAGTTTTTTGTATTTTTGATAGAGACGGGGTTTCACCATGGTGGCCAGGCTGGTCTTGAACTCTTGGCCTCAAGTGATCTGCCTGCCTTGGCTTCTCGAAGTGCTGGGGTTATAGGCGTGTACCACCGCGCCCAGCCTAAGAGTTTTTAAATAAAATTTGTCTTCTCTTAAAATCAGATTTGGCAAATTTTTTCCCTTTTAATATACCAGTTATATTTGACCCTAAACTAGGATACATTTTGCTAGACATTTACAGACACACCACTGACATCACTGGGAATGCCAGACTTCATCGTGCTCACTATAAAGTTTATAGGAACCTACTGTGGGTAACAGCAGTTCTGATGAGGTTGTCTTGTGCCCTGTGTCCAGGGGAGTTTGGAAGATCTTTGGTGAGATCAGCTCGGGTTATGCAGTAAGTTCTGGCCAACTCATGGGGAGTTCCTGGGTTGTTCTGGCCATACCATATCTTGTCTTTTTCTCTTTCCCTTTCCTCCTACTTTCAAACACAATAGAACAAACTCCTGCTTGCGGCGAATAATTATGTCTGAGAAAAAGGAGTATATTGGGAGATAGGTCTTCCAAGAGGAAACGTACTGTTATGTATAGGTTCTATTGGCTTCTCTTAGCTTATAGCTAAAATTTTTCCCACTTAATTTGAGATAATCTGTGTATCTGGATTCAAGATAGAAACTAGCATTGACATTTCTGTGCTTATGAATATTATAATTTAGGTTATCTTTAAGAAATACATTTTTCCTTCATTAATACTCAGATCTATATTCTAGGTACTAACTTGGTTAAGAAAGCTATATATGCCATGGTTGAGGGAGACTGTGATGAGGTAAGTCTTTAAAAATGTTTAATACTTGTTTTCTGGGCATTATTCTTACTGGGTATTTTTTATAAATATTTTGTAATTTATTGCAGATTTCATTGCAGTTTTACTACACAAATGCAGCTTGTGGGGAAAATTATATTCCATTTAAAAACACATGAATTTTTGACCTAGAACAAATTTTAAAATGGAGCTAAAATTTCTTCAAAATGAGTGGATGGAATCTTAGACATTTTCAGTACACAATTTTGGTATTCAGAGGCTTTATCATCAGTTTTTTAAGGTAGCTCTTATTATAGACTCTGTTATAATTTGCTTACATATTGGCCTTAGTTTCTAACAGTGGGAAAACTATCAGTCTATATGGAGGACATTTCACACTTGAAAATAATCTTTTCGGAATTAAATAATGACAGTGTTGCTGGGGGAAGACAACCACTTTTTAAGAGTAGCGCTAGCTGTGCATTAACGTAAGAGCATTTTCTCTCTTCAGCTTGTTTGTAAGGTCTGATGGCAGATATAATTTCTTTGTATCCTACTGCACTGTGTTTCTACATATAGTAGGTGCTTGATAAATATTGGTGATGATTAGGAATGTTAACATTTACTGTTGTACAGTGTGGAAGGGAACAAGTATAAACTAGAGAAATATAGATGTCTTTAATATAGCAGTGGTGACTGAGGAGGAGCAAAGTTGTACTAGTACTTTTATGAGTAATAGAAGTAGCAATTTTTATTATTAGAGGTCAGATGTGCCTTAGAGAATTCTCAAAATATGTGAAATTGGGTAACTTTTTTCAAAATATTGACCTTAATAATTTGTTTTAGTGACTTAAGTGGATTTTTGTTGTACAAAATTTATACACAGCATATATGATATATGTGCATGTGTTTTTGTTAACAAAGTTCCTTCTGCCATTCTCATGCTTTTCAAGTCTTTATCCATCTTTCCATTGATAGCTACTGTTTTTTTGTTGTCGTTCTTGCTTTTGTTTTGTAGAGATGGGAGTCTTGCTATGTTGTCCAGCTGGAGACCACTCCAGCTCCTGGCCTCAAGTGATCCTTCCACCTCAGCCTCTCAAAGTATGATTATAGGCATGAGCCGCTGCTCCTGGCCTCTTGCTACTGTTAACTGTTTGAAATGCGTTCTCTCATTTTTTAAACGCACCTATATGCAAATATCTAGTTTTTAAAAATACAAATGAAGTAATTCTTATTCAGTAATTATTAGCAATAATAATTGCTTTTTTCTTTTAATAACATCTCATGAATACATTTCTGTATTAGAATACAGAGATTTGCTGCTGAGCATTCTCAGGCTTCTTGTTCACACTAGGCTCTATTCTGACGGATCCACTCTAAGTGGTGGTTATATGAGAAGGCCTCCAGACATAATAGGTGGCACAGTGAAGTCATCCTGGGATTTAAATATATCTAATTTTACTCCAAAGAAATAATTCACAGGTGTCAAAGGATCTCACATTGTTCAGTTTTTTTTTTTTTTTTTTTTGAGACGGAGTCTCGCTCTGTCGCCCAGGCTGGAGTGCAGTGGCCGGATCTCAGCTCACTGCAAGCTCCACCTCCCGGGTTTACGCCATTCTCCTGCCTCAGCCTCCCGAGTAGCTGGGACTACAGGTGTCCACCACCTCGCCCGGCTAGTTTTTTGTATTTTTGAGTAGAGACGGGGTTTCACCGTGTTAGCCAGGATGGTCTCGATCTCCTGACCTCGTGATCCGCCCGTCTCGGCCTCCCAAAGTGCTGGGATTACAGGCTTGAGCCACCGCGCCCAGCCTAGCGTTGGCTTTTCATTGGAAGTTCTCAGGAATTATACGAACATTTGTATTGTTTTGGTCTCAAGGTTAAATTTTAAATTAATGATACATTTTATGGTATGCATTTCCAGCCTAAAAAGCTAATGCTGATTCATTCATTTTTTCTTTTGAAACAATGAATATTAGTTAATCTTTAGGCTGACATCAGGGGGATAGCTTTGTGAACTTTTTCCTTTTGTATAATTTTAAATGGATGGTTTTTGCAGTTTGTGAATACCTCTGTCTCTTGATTAGATAACTTTTTCTTGGTATAAAAATTTTGCTTATCTGCGTCCAACGTTATTCAGATAGAATAATTTGCCATATGAACTCTTGTTTACTCTATAAGCTCTGGTAGCTATCTGGTTTTCCTTTCCATGTTAAAATACTTTAGTCTTTAAGACCCAATTCAAATACCAACAACTCCTTTAAGTTTTTCTTGATCTTTCTGGACAGAATCCATTGCACTTTTCTGTTATTTTTGTTACTCTTTTTGTAATACTTATTGCACTTAATTTCACTTGTTCAGTGCCTTAGCACAGTGTAGGACAGAGATGCCTTCTCTTGTTTGTTGAGATATTCTTGGTGCTTAGTGTGACATTTGTGATAGAGTAACTGCTTCATAAATATTTTTTGAATGATTAGTTCTGTGCTTCCAGCACGATATTTGTACCCCTCTCTCTCTTGTTTAAGCACTTTTAAATTTTGACTTGTATTGCTGTTAACTTGTCTTTCTCTCTGCTTTCTGTAAGCTTTCTGAAAACACCAATTGTCTTATTTTTGTTCATAGTAGCATTTTTTTTTTAAAAGGCATCTTCAGGGTTAACCAAGTTGTTAAAATGCCTTTGAAATGCTAAATCTCCAAAAATATGGTGATTAATGAAAATGCAATTATGTGCTTTCACTTTCATTAATTTAGACCAACCTTTTAAAGGGTTTAGAAATTTTGACAAATTATCTGAAAATCTGTGAAAGACATTTGAGAAGGGTTTTAAATTAGATTTTCTACTACTTAGGTTATTCTGCTATTTTAAAAATTCTTACAAAGATAAAGATTTTAAAATCTGTGAACCTTTTAATAGAGGTACATTTAACCAGGCACTGTGGCTCATGCCTGTAATCCCAGCACTTTGGGAGGCCCAAGGCTGGCGGATCAGTTGAGGTCAGGAGTTCGAGATCAGCCTGGCCAACATGGTGAAACCCCATCTCTACTAAAAATACAAAAATTCGCTGGGCGTGGTGGCACACACCTGTAGTCCCAGCTACTCAGGAGGCTGAGGCAGGAGAATCACTTAAACCCTAGAGGCGGAGGTTGCAGTGAGCCAAGATTGCACCGCTGCTCTCCAACCTGGGAGAAAGAGACTTTGTCTCATAAAGAAAGAGATACATTTGGAAATCTCCATGAAACCTTACTGTGCTCTGTGGCAAAAAAAGAAAAAAAAAAGATACATTTGGAAATCTCTGTGAAACCTTACTGTGCACATCAAACAATTTTCACTTTCTATTCTGTCTACAGAATTTGTGACCTTGAGTCATGTTTATATTGTTGTTTGTTGTTACTAGTCATTTTAAGCTCAGAGTATTCAGCCAGAGTTATTAGTAATCCACAGAATTGAAAGGTAGATAATGTTTTTCTCCAAATAATGCTGCACTGTTCCTGGTCTAGTTGATGTTTTCATTTTGTCTTACTGTGATTTTCCCAACTTTTCATATCAGAATTAGGTATATGTTAAAGCAGTATAGCTAAAATTTTTTTTCATTTTCTATGTATTTGGAGCTGACACAAAAAATTATAGTATCAAAAGAGGAAACAAGTGGATTTGTTACTTCATGAGTAAGAAATACATTACCAGTGTGCTGATCTGGCTTAAATTTGTTTACACCCCCACATGCTCTGGCTGCCAGATGTGTAGCAGCTAGGACAAGTATCTTAGGTTCATGTTTCACAATAGAAGAAAGAATAAGATAAATACATATAGAATGAATGAGTTTTCTATGATGCAGATTTTAAAGTAGGATCTGTGTACCTAAAATCAACCTACTTGCTGGCCATTTACATTTATGTACTTTTTTTCCCGAAGTAAATTAGAATTTGGGCAGGTGATTGATCAGTATCAGTATGATGAATAGTGCCTCGATGTTTAAGCCATTGATATCCTTAAAATCTTAATCTCTGAAAACTTCAAGTTGTTTTTTGTTTTTGTTTTTGTTTTTGTTTTAAGAGTTTTAGGCTGGGCGCAATGGCTCATGCCTGTAATCCCAGCACTTTGGGAGGCCGAGGTGGGTGGATCACGAGGTCAGGAGTTCGAAACCAGCCTGGCCAATATGGTAAAACTCCGTTTCTACTAAAAAGATACAAAAATTAGCCAGGTGTGGTGGTGCGTGCCTGTAATCCCAGCTACTGGGGAGGCTGAGGCAGGAGAATTGCTTGAACCCAGGAGGCAGAGGTTGCAGTGAGCTGAGATTGTGCCACTGCGCTCCAGCCTGGGGGACAGAGCAAGACGCCATCTCACCAAAAAGAAAGAAAAAAAAAAAAGAGTTTTAGGTCGATTACTGTGATATGAATAGCCGGAGATAACTGATCAGAATACAGTGGAATTAGGATTTCTTAATGGAATTTAAATTTATAGTATCTTAAAATATTTTCAGTTGAAAATCATGTCATTTAATTTTTGCTTATTTACATTAAAGACATTTTTTCCATTGGAAAACCATAATGAACATTACAGAAAACTTGAGAAACAGAAGAAGAAAGTTCACTACCTACCCTTCCAGCACGTTGTATTAGTCTGTTTTCACCTTGCTGATAAAGACATACCTCAGACTGGGCAGTTTACAAAAGAAAGAATATCACATTGGATTGAAGCCTCACAATCCTGGCACAAGGCAAGGGAGGAACAAGTCACATCTTACATGGATGGTGGCAGGCAAAGAGAAAAGAGCTTGTACAGGGGAATTCCTCTTTTTAAAACTATCAGATCTCGTGCGACTTAATTCACTCGTGAGAACAGCACGGGAACGACTTGCCCCCATGATTTAGCTACATCCCACCGGGTCCTTCCCACAGCACATGGGAATTCAGGATGAGATTTGGGTGGAGACACAGCCAAACAGTATCACACATCCAATTTGGTGTTTTCTTTCCTTTCTTTTTTTGTTGCATACATTTTTTATTTTTACTAGACAGTTTCTTCTGTAAATAGCATGCTATGTAACTTGTTGCTGCCTGTTTACAATCTGCTATTCAAACCCATCACTTTCCCTACAACCTGATTTGCTTGACCTACCTAATGTTATTTATTTCTAGCAATATAAAGGTAATGCAAAAGACATTTTGGTAATTTTTAGACAGATAATCTGGTAGCTGACTGTATTTTGTACAATTAAAAGAATAAAATAGATCACATTAGCACTAATGACTACATTAGATTATTAGGAGCCGCAAGGAGATCTAAGTTATTTTTTGAAATAACTTATACTTTTCTAAGTTAGAAAAGTCCAACTTAGAAAAGGTACAGTCATTCTTTTTCCCCCATGATACAAAAGATTACATTTTAGCTTTTTAATTAGACTATTATGTTTATTAAGTATTTACTAATTATATATATGTATATATATAAAAAAATCTTTAGTTTCACTGGAAATATTTTGCTATGTGATAGAGGCTGCAAGGTAAAGAACAGAATACAGTGGGGTTAGCTAAACTGCAAGGATTTTGGGTGAGTAGTTTGGCCTAATAACTGAGTATGAGAAGCCTGGTTTCCGTATTTATCTTCTGTCACTTGGCAGTTCTATGATTGTAGGCAGGCTGTTTAACTTTTTCTGGTCTTTCTCTTTGTCTGTGCAACATGTTATTTCTGATCTTAAAGAGATGTTGTGAAGAGCAGTACTGTTTGTTGTTCATTCAGCAAATAGCAGTGGAAGGGCTTCTAGGTGCCAGACAGTGTGGTAGTGCTAAAGTTCTAGCAATGAACAAGCCTGCCCTCCAGGAGCTTCCAGCCTACAGTATTAAAAAATACTATCTTAAACAGTAATGTTTTGTAATGGTTTGGCTTATTCTGAAAATGGTCTGTTACTGTTGCAAAGAGGATCAGTGGAATTTCACTGTAATTTTTTTTCGCTGTTAAGTAGAATTCAACTCTGTCAAGTTTCTTTAGGACCAAAATAACCTCGTTTTATGGTGAATTTCTAATATAAATCCAGATATTCTTTTAATATGTTTATAAGAATTTGAGAATTAAAAATTAGTTACTTTATCCTGGCATTTTTCTGTTGTGTCAAATAATTTTCTAAAGAAAGAATCACTTTGTTTAGAAAATATGAGTGTGCCAGGAGAATCTTTACATTTTAACTGAGTGAGACCTTGGTGTAATTTTTTCTCTATGTAATTGAGCCTCATTTCAGTAATCTATTAGGATGCCAACAAACTTGAACTCAGTTCTTAACCACATCTCAAGTGTGTATTTGTGTAGTGGTGGTAGCCTCAGATGTGTTTGGAATATTTTAGATTGCTGAATATTAATGATGGTGGACTTAGAATCCCTTTCATCTTGTCTTAAGTAGGTTAGATTTCCTGGTCACTGTGCTTTACTTTGGGAAATAATCAGGGGAGAGGTACAGTAGGGTAGTTACTATTAAACTTTAGTTCATAATTGGACTCTGTTCTGTCCTTGCTCTATTGGTGGCCTTGAGTTTTATTCATCTGTAAAATGGATAACCACATCAATTTCATAAGGTTATTGTGAAAATAAAGCTACATAATGCATGTAGAATGCTTTACATTGCACATAGTACAGCTCCAATAAATATTAGCTGTCATATTTTAAAATTGTCACTTTTTATTTGAAATCAATTCCAAGTTTTGAGTTGTTGTGACTTTAGTGTTTCTCATATTAAATTGCTTTGATTTAACGTTTTAGCTATAATTAGGTGCTGGACCTAATAACAGAATTGCAGGAATTACCCAAGAGAATTGTTAAAAACTAAAAACTTGTATTGACCAGACTGAGGTGTTACAGACTCTAGTATGACATACCTTACTAGAAATTTAATTGTGTGTGTGTGTGTATGTGTGAGTATTTTAATTTGTTTTTTGAGACAGTCTCGCTTTGTCACCCAGGCTAGAGTGCAGTGGTGCACTCACAGCTCATTGCAGCCTCAACCCCTTGGGCTCAAGTGATCCTCCCACCTCTGCCCCGCTAAGTAGCTGAGACTATAAGCACACACCACCAAACCTGGCTAACTTTTAAAGTTTTTGTAGAGACGGGTTTTCACCATGTTGCCTAGGCTGGTCTCAAACTCCTGGGCTCAAGTGATCCGTCTTGGCCTCCCAAAGTGCTGGGATCATAGACATGAGCCACTGCACCTGGCCAAATTGTGTTTTTTTAAGTGCAGAGAGAAATTGACGTTTACTTATCTTAAACCAGTTTATTTCCTGTACAACTTTTATTTTAGGTTTTCTTAGGAGCGTATTTATTTTCTTCATCCTAAACTAATTACTTCATTTTAGATCCTTTAAAGGTTTAGATTTAGCATTGGTCCCTGCTGTTGTTGGGTTTACCAGCTAGGAGAGATGACATACCACTCATCAAATGTTGAATAAGAATGTGTCATAGGAACAGTGCAGAATGCTGCTGGGTGATATAAAAGGAAAGGGGCACTGTCCCCAATCTGGAAGTGACAAGGTAGGGCCAAAAGAGAGGAGGATAGGAAGAGCATGCTTCCAGAGAGAGAACAGTTTATTTGAATGGTCTAAGGTGGGAGAGATCATGGTGGGTTCCAGAAACTGAAAATTCAGTGCCGAGCATGGAAAAGCAAGAAGAGAGAGACCTAAAGCAAAGCTGAGGCCAGTATATTGATGGGCTTTTTATGTCTCTTGATATTGTTTTTAGATTGTGGACTTTCTCTTGAGGACAAGAGGGAATCAATAAACGGTTTTAAGTAGAGAATTAACAAGAGCATCACCCTAACTCTATTTATAGAGAATGGGAGACCTCTTGAGTTAGGAGTTGATGGCGGCTTGCTCTGTGGTATCTCGAGCATAGAAAAAAGAGGACTACTTAGAGATTTAAGAGGGAGAATTGACAGTAATCAGTGCTTGGATGCATATAGGTGGTTGAAGAGGAATGAGGTTCAAAAATGACTCTTGGGTTTCAGGTTTGAGGCACTGATGTGGTGGGATGGTGATACTATTTACTGAGATATAGAATTGTGGAGGAAGAGCAGATTATGAGTTCAATTTTGGATATAAGTTGAGGTACTGTCTAGACCAGTGGTTCTCAAAATGTCCCTTGACCAGCAGCAACATCATCATCTGGCAATTTTAAAATGTTGAAAATGCAGATTCTTGTGTCCTACTGCAAACCTACTCATAAACTCTGGGTGTGGGGCTCAGCAATCTATTTTAACAGGCCCTTCAGGTGATTATGAGACACTCTAACATTTTGAATACCTCTTGTCCGGATTCAGCAAACACTGTTGGTAAAAGGCCCATTAGTAATTATTTTAGGCTTTGTGGACCATAGGTCTTTGTGGCAACTGCTCAGCTCTGCCCTTGTATTGAGAAAACCGCCACAGACATCATGTAAACAAATAAACGTGGCTGTTTGACTAAAACTTTTATTTACAAAACAGACAGCAGGCGCATTTGGCCCAAAATCTATAGTTTGCAGACTCTGGTCTAGACTCCAGACAAATATTGTAGTTATTACCAGAATAAATGACATATTAATGAAAATATGGAAGTTGGAAGTCAATATGAATAGCTGCTTATAATAATATAGCTTATTAGTTTAAGGAAATAAACCAGTACTTTTGATTGTTGATTTTATTTTCATCCTTAGTCATTTTACCTTTCCCCACAGGGAAATAATTAATCTTTGTTTTAGTATAAAACATACTCTCATTGCTAAAAATTTCAAACATCACAAAAATCAGTAGAACAGAAGATACATCTCCAGTGGTCCTCCAAGCCCTTGACCCAAATATAATATTACAATTTTGATGACTATTTTTGAGTTCTTTCTGTATATTATTTATTGTTTTCACTATCAATTTTTAAAATAACATGATTTTTGAAAAATTGTTTACTTGGTAAGTGATTTTTCAAATTATGTAATTATAACTTAGTTTTTTTCTCATTTCTTTGAAGGTTGTTTTGGAAACCGAAATAACAAATAAGTCTGCTTTGAAACTTTATGAAAATCTTGGTTTTGTTCGAGATAAGAGGCTGTTCAGATACTATTTAAATGGAGTTGATGCACTGCGACTTAAACTGTGGCTGCGTTGAGAAACCGACATCGAGAAACAACTTTCAACCACACAGAATCGACCTTTGCATGCAATGCAATTTGTACAGAATTGCTTTGCAGGTGGATTTAGTAATTTCCATGCAGCTCTTATCTGTCAGTGTCTCATTGAGTGTCGCACAATATTTGTTGCACTTTGGCATGGCGCATTTGTTCTGAATTAAAAGATTGTTTTAAACTTCAGGAGTTCTTTTGGTACCAACAAGATGTGCCAGTTGATAGCCAAGATTTATGTGTTCATTTGCAAAGTCTGCTGACAATGTTATTTACACAGTGATCATTTTTTCACAGAACCAGTAAGTGGAACATAATTTTTGTTCCTTAAAAAAGCCAATGTGGATTGTAAAAGTCTCTAAGTATACTAACATTTCACACAAAACCTGCCCTAGTTTTCTGAAGGGGGTGAGGGAGAAGATGCTTCAGTTTTAGGTTTAATTTTTTCAATATTAAATTTTCCATTCTTGAATATTGGTACCTCAGTGATTAGTGAATGAAAAAAATGTAGGGTGGGGTATGTCTTACAATGAGTAAAGGTAACAATTAAATTTTGTCTGCCAGTGCCTGTGTAGATAGGTATATTTGTCTTCATCTCTAGTTTTTGAATGCATGCTATCTTTTCCTTTTCCTTAAGGCCTTTGCAAGCAAACTTTTGTTTTTATTTAAATTCTAAATTTGATAATAAATTATTTCAGATTTTTATAATTTGGACACTTTTTTTCAGGTGAATAACAGAATGGTTTACTTTACAAGTCCCTTTTTCCTTACAGTAACAAGTTGAATCTACTTGGAAAATTGAGAAATGGCTCAAAAGAGATAAGAAAAGTTGATGGAGCCGGGAATTGCTGGGTTTTAGATGCACTTTTTCTTTTGAGAGTAAGGGAAGTTTTGGAAAAGAATAGAAAATTAGTGTAAATTGATACGATTTTATTTAATCAAAATTACTGCTACGCTGTGAAGAACAGCTTTTACAAAGTAGCTGAATTTGTTTTTCCCACTTGATTTGGATTCACATTGCTTTCATTTCTTAAAATGTTTCCCTTTAGGTTCTTGGTCTTGGAAATAAATTTCAAGGTGCATTGTATCCATTTTAAGCTGCTTTATTTTATTTTCACTTGTATGAGCAAATTCTTAGGGGAGCTTTGCTTTTCTTCTGCCAGAAAAACAAAAGGGGGAAATGAAAATCTTTTTTGGAATGAGTTCTGTGGGTTTTCTTAACCGCCACCATGTTTATTAGTTACATTGTGTTTTGGCCAATCAGTGCAATGTAACAGATTTTAAAGTTAATTGCTTTCAATTGAGTCAGTAAACCTCTGATAGATAATTTATTTAAGTGGAAAACCTAGGTACCCATAAGAAAAAAGATTCATTCTCTGTGAAAACTGTAGGAATCTCTTGTTGTTGTTTTCATTTGAATATACTCTACTTCTGCTCTAGTATTTGGTTTGGAATATATTTTGTGGCTCTAATTACTGTATTTTTAAAAACCCTACCTCCATTAACAGTTGGTAAAGGCCCCTTTTCAGGAAAGTTTGTTGCTTTTTTTTTTTTTTTTAAAGGAAAGCTGCTCTTTGCTCAGTATAGTGTTTTGAAGGTGAACATAGTAACAAATACTTTAAAAATAAAGATACACAATTTATATTTGAAAATAAAAACTTTCTGCTGGTGGGATTATTTATAGTTCTTTATTTTTAAAGACAATGTTTTCCATTTTATATTGCTCGTGAAAGTTTAATGGGCAGGATACTGGTTATAATAAAAATATGGTAACCACACAGTACTCAGCTTTTCAGTGTTTTTGGTCAAACTTCATTTAGGCACTAGCATTTAGAAGAATACCAACTATAGTGATGCTTTTATTTAATATGAAGGAAATTGAACTAAAACATATTTATGTCATCAAATTTTATTTCACTCCTTTATATTTGACTTGCTGGTTGATGCATAATGGTTGACGAACATATATTTGCTTGAATCATATGGGGATGGTTGTAAAGTAGATAGATGGTAGGTCATTGGTTCAACCATTTTAGTGTTTTTGCCAGATTGTCAATGAAACCATCATACTGACCTTTTCCTTCGAAATTGCCGAATTGACTGAACTGATTGGGTGTTTGTAAACATGACGTTAACTGTGTGACTAAAAAGTCAGATGGTTGCCATATTGTTTGGTGTATGTTAAATGTCAGTGTATGCCTTATGTCTTTAATTGGGTATGCAAAAATTTTTTTACTTAAGTAGATTAAAATTTTTAACCTCTAGCATGAAAACCCAACACCAACACTGAAAGACTCCATTCAGGTTGAAGTAGCCTCAAACAGTAATTTACTTTTTGATAATAGGCTGTTATTTTTCTTAAATAAGCTTAAAATAATTCTATTTGAAATCGATAGCATGGGTTCACTTGGCTAAAACTGAGCAAAATAGGTGCAACTTTCTTTTAATGGGGTGCTGCCTCTTTAGGACTGACTGTACTATCCACTGACACTGGTTTGGCAGTTGGTACTGCTGAACATTTTTATACATGCTACCATGAAGCTATATATGTTAGTATTGAAGAAGCTAACGGGTATACTATCATTTTTGATGTGTGGGCTGATTATAATTTCCTGTACATTGGGATGAAACTACTTTAGCAAAGTCCACAGATCAGAAACCATACAGTAGTTTTTGAAGTTGAAACCAGCAAAATAAGAAAAAATAAAAAGTCAATTTTAATATTTTCTGCCTCTTTCCCAAATTACCCTTCCCACTTGCTCGACAAATCTATGTAAAGCAGTTTGTTTTTCATGTTTTAACTTTACCTTGCCCTGTGTTATGGTACTGGCTGACATGTCTAAGACTGGATGTGTATATTTATTATGGTGTCTAAAAATCATGAAGTTCATCACTTTTCAGGAGTATAGATAAAATCAAATTGGTAGTGCATCAGAGTTACTTTTCAGTGCACCATGACATCACTAAAATGAGTGCTGTAATGTTACAGGGCTTTCAGGTTTGTAAAAACATAACCATAAATTATATTGACGTCAGATATGAGTTGAGTATCTATAAAATATCACGTGTATCTCAAAATATTGGACTGCTGTTTGACTGGATATTGCTGCATAATTTTCTTCTATTGTCCCATATCCTTTTGGAGAGAGATTTAATGGGATTTGAAATGTGCAAGCTGTCTAAATAAGATGCAGTCAAATAAAGTATGGTTAAGTTGTGTTTGCATTTTTCTTTTAGATACAGCTGTGTGCATTTTATGATTGGGTTGTTTTGCTTTTACCCACTAAGTAAAACAGCAACAAGCAATATATTATTTCCCACTTCCTGCCTTTCATCTAAGAGTTACGGGGAGGACGTATTACATAATTGTCATCACTGCTGTGTGTTCTAACAAAGTAAATTTGAAAATAATGTGAACTTGATTTTCCTAAAAGTATTCAGTTAGTCAACTCATATGTCAGATATCAGTACATTTTCCATGTGTTGAGTCAAAAGTTTATCTTTTTAGTCTGTTTCATAGCAGTTTATTTCTAAGACAGTTTTTATTTTAATTTGCTTTTTTGTCTGTACACTGCCACTCTAATGTTCCCCCCGCCCCACCCTTGGTAAGACACCAAAGTAAAATAGAGCAATATCTAAAGAGCCTTTGCCCCTGTCTTGTGAGGAGCTTTAAATAGCTGTGAATACGTCTATATGTCAAGATTTTCGGATTTAAGTGGAAGGATGAAATGATCTGTTTTAATCATTTAACTGCTAAATTACTTTTATCTTGCATGCCAAATCTTTACATTATTCTTTATAGTAATGCTGTAAAAGTATCTGAGTTTGTTTTATTTGGGCCTTATGTGGAACCCTGAATACTTCATAAATTCAGTCTAAAGTCTAAAAACCAGAAGGTTGATACCATTTTTTCACACCAATGAACACATCATTATTAACCTGTAGCCCAGAAATGTTAGATTTATTTATTTTTTGAGACAGAGTCTCACGCTGTCGCCCAGACTGGAGTGTGGTGGCACAATCTTGGCTCAGTGTAACCTCTGCCCCCCTGGGTTCAAGCAATTCTTGTTCCTCAGCCTCCCGAGTAGCTGGGACTACAGGCGCATGCCACCACGCTCAGCCAATTTCTTATATTCTTAGTAGAAAAGGGGTTTCACCATATTGACCAGGCTGGTCTCGAACTCCTGACCTCAAGTGACCTGCCCATCTCGGCCTCCCAAAGTGTTGGAATTACAGGTGTGAGCCAGCATGCCCAGCCTATGATACTCTTTTTATAAGCAACTTTTAAAAAGTTTTTAGAATCTCATAAGCATATAGCATGGTTACACTTTCTTCAGATCACCACTGTCTAGTCACACTTCATATGAGGATAGATGTGTCCTTTTCACTCCCCAGTATGGTAGTTACTAGTCACATGTAGCTACTGAGCCCCTGAAGTATGGCTGGGATGATTGAGCTGAATTTGTAGTTTTAATTAAAGTTAGCCACATGTGGCTTGTGGCTACTGTATTGGACAGCAGAGCTTTAGATAATTTAGGCAGTAATAACAGGAGGGGAGTGTTTGTATAGGTTGAAATGTAAAACGGAAGGATCACAATTAGGCCAGATATGGTGGCTCACGCCTGTTATCCCAGCATTTTGGGAGGCTGAGATGTTAGTTTGTGACCAGCGAGGACAGCATAGCAAGACTGTCTCTGAAAAATCTTTTAAAATAACACAACTAAAAATTACCTCTGAGAAAAAGTATAGCTGAACTGTTTATACTGACAATATATTTCATTAATACAGTGTTTGACCACTCTCCACCCCACCAACGACTGCCCTCGTTATGTAGCCTTTCTGAGAAAAGCAGCCCTTTCAGATTTTATTGTTGTAAGTTCCTTGGGTTGCAGAGATGCAGATTCAAGTGCCAAAAGTTGTTTCTGATGAGACTCATCTTTTTAGCCTTAAAATGTTTGTATAGTTGGCCCTAATAGTTTCTCATTTTAGATGAATTTAAAATCATTTCACTTCTAAATGAGATTGGTCATCTCATGAGTGGTGAAGTTGGAACATGGAGGTCTGTCATATTTTTAACCTCCAAGATCCACTTAAGGGATGAGGCCAAAGGCCAGTGTTATTTCTAGAAGAACCAGATTAATTTTGCTGTCTTCCATCACCACGGTGTGTTCCTTGACCCTCGCTGGTCATCTGGTAAGTGTAATTCATCAAAAGAGCAGAAATAGGGATAGTAAACACCTGGATACAAAGACAGTGCCAGGCTTGGTACAACCTGTTAACACTGTTGAGGAAAGAGCTCAAAACACACATTACTTTGGGAGCAAGTCAATGTTTAATCTCAATATGAAACAGACTTAGAAATAACAAAGACCACTGAAGTGCCAAATCTATCTTCTAGTACTACTATTTATGCAATATGGGGGTTATAATGAAATAGTTTTAGTGTAATTATGTAAGGTTTTTATAATGCTAAGAAATAAGCTTATATTTAGATATGGATTTTTATGACTACCTCTTTGCTGTATGAATATCTTAATTTTCTAATACCTCAGTTTCATGAGAACTGTATGTACATTTTTGTAAATAAAATAATTTACCATATGCTAGGAGAAGGACCTGCTTTTAAAGAAATTGTGTAAAGACATTTGT